CTGTCTTCCAACATGTCTTGACAAGTTTCTTTTAAGCTATGAACCCTTTGGGGCCAGGGACATGTCTTGTTAAAATTTAAGAAGTGCTGTAGAAGTGATTTTTACCATGCTAGAATAAAATTTAAAAATATCATGAGATACAGTAAAACTCTGCACTCGCATACGTGACCACAGTTGGAAACATCCAGTTGAGAGCAGAACAGACTGATACTTGCAGAATAAGCTGCACGGGCGAACTACGGATTTTATAATTAGTAATAATCTGCACAATTTAAATGTAACTGATAGAAAGGAGAAACTTCACCATAAATTCATCTTGCAGTAGTTTGAAAGGCTTTGTTTGTGATGCAGTCATGGATAGTGGTCTAAATGGTCTATTGATTAATTAACTCTTTATGATTCTGAATTTGCACGTTTTTCTGCAGTCTGGTCTTTATTATGCAAAACTCTTTTGAGCAATAAGCTTTAATAGACTAACTGCTATTTAGCACTTAGAATTAAGGATGTGGGTGGTGTGTCTTTTGGGGTACCAAATGGCATTAATTATGAGGTTGAACTTTTGCACTAAGTCCTACTACCTTTGTGGTTTTAATATAGAAGCCGTGTCTCTTATGAGAACATATTTTTTTAAATGTTCATATAGATTTTTCTTCCCGTTGTATTTTTGGACATAAGATGTTATTAGAAAACTTAAAACTTTAAAATTCCAAAATACCAAAATACTTGGTACAAAGAAAGGTGGATAGAAGGAAGTTTAGTACATAAGAAATCTCAACATTTTTTATAGGTTCAAATTGCAAATAATTAAAAAACTCTAGATATGAATCACATGCATTTCTTTATGATAAAATTGCTAATACTTCTATTATTAAGCCATTGAATATAGCAGATGAGGGAGAAGCACTTCTGCTTTTGGTTGCTTTTAAAGAATGTCACAGCATGCTCCAGTACACTTCAGTTGAATTTTTCATGAAGAATTTATTTTGTCAGACTACATTTTAATATACTTGCTTTGTTATATTAAAGAAAGGCATTTTCCCCATTTTCATCTTGGTTTATTGTTTGATAAGTTCAAACAGTTGCTCACTTGCTCTTTATTCCAGCTGGTTGGTAGTAAGGTAAACATAAATGTAAAATCTGAGAGTTTGGAATAAAGAGGTGGCTGTGAAACATACACTATTTCTATATGCTTCCAGACAAATCTTATGGAGGAATAAGTGAAAAGGGAAAGGGACACGATTGCCTGGAATGGAAAAGGAAAAGGATTAGTATGAAAATATTTCACCTTAGTAGGAGTGTCAGATTATTATTTATTTATTTTTCTGAAAGCATTATGTGGTTGAGAACATTGCACATTCAGCCCATGCCACAAAATTAGCAGGTATTGTACTTCTCAGTTGCTCTTTGATTAAGCCATAGCAGTGGACAAATAAATTGATGGCCGTTGGATTCAGGGAGTCCTTGTACTGAAAGACATAAAATGCAAAACGGCACAGGTGTGTTCAGTCAGAAATAAAACTACAGTGCAACGCTCTGATTTATTTTTACATGCTTTATAAAGCACCAATGAAGACACAAGTATTTTTAAAGTGTGGATTAGAAGCATGGACAGTGAGGTGGACTGAAAACTGGCTGAAAGACAGAGCTCAGAGGGGTGTTATTAGGGGCACAGAGTCTAGTTGGAGGTCTGTAACAAGTGGTGTTCCCAAGGGTCAGTACTGGGTCCAGTCCTCTTCAATATATTCATCAACGACCTGGATGAAGGGATAGAATGTACACTCAGCAAGTTTGCTGACGGTACAAAGCTGGGAGGGGTGGCTGACACCCCAGAAGGCTGTGCTGCCTTAAATGATGTTGGCTTTCTTCCACTCTCCATCTTCTCTGCTGACTCAGCAGTCGGCGCTCACTTCAGAGCTGAAGCTGGGTACGTCAAGAGAGTCCTCAGCATGATGCCTTGAGTGGCTGCTGTGAAGAACCACAAGGCCCCAAAGAGCTGGACACGGGGGCTCTTTGTTTGCCAGTTCAGGCCTGTTCTTTGGCCGTGAGCTCCATGAATAAAAACAGCAAAGGTATTTGATTCTGAACTGTATTTCAAATCCCATGAGAAATAAAATGTACACAGTACTGTCTCCTAAACTGACACCATGAAGGAATGCCTTAATTCTCATCTCTTGCTTCCTGCATAGTTAGGAACACATGCCCACACACACTCAATTTGCATGACCCAAAAGAGGACTTTCTTCATCATCACTCTTTCCTCTGCAGGGCCCGTGCTCTGTCTCTGAGTGTTTGTAGATTGCGCCACTTCCTGGTCTTGGTTCAGAGGAGATAATGAAGGGCACACAGAACATACTGGTGTGTTCTGGTCATGTAAGATTGGAGAGTGGAGGCTGGGCTACTCTGTTCAAGAGTTCAGATAGATGAGATGAATCTGCAGTTGGTAGATACAAGCGTATCTTCAGTTTCAGGAATCACCACCGACAGGCCTTTGGAAGGCAGTGGGAAGGGACAGGCAAAAGTCACCTGCCCAGGTTTCTTCCTCTGTTGCTAAATTGCTTCAAAGATGAAGGTACAAAATTAAATAGTGCCTCCTATGCAGTGATGAAGGGTAGGTCAGTCAGACATATCCCAGAAGAGGTTTTTGCAGGTACACTGTGAGAGCTTGTGGCAGAAGTATGTTATCTGAAAATTCCTTGTATGTTATGCTCTGTGGATGTGCCTGGGATATGCTGGTGTGTCAGTATGAAGGCCTGAAGAGAATGAACACACCTTATGGGACTGATTTTTCAAAGTCTCTTAAAGTGTGCTATAGACATAGCCACATAAAACTCGGGTGATGTATTATTCTGTATAAAGAACCCCAATCAGGGATTATACAGGGATAGAGATAATACACAATAGGCTAGATTGCTTGAATAACGAATGTATGCACACTCTTTCTCTGAGAAAACTGCCATTCAGTTTGAATTAAGAGTTCTTTTTCCTTATTTTTTCAGTATTTGGCATATCTCTACCACTGTCAATAAATGTGTCACTTTGTCCTCTATTCTATTTTTGTGTTACAATCATGTCTGTCATAGGGATGAGGGATGGGGAGTGGAAGCAATTCCCTAAAGTTCGATTTCATGAGTGATGGAAGCTCCAGACACTGCGAATGAAGCAAACTTACATTATTTAACTTTCCCCAACCCCCCCATTTTTTTATTTTAACTGCTTGGTTTTAAATAGTTTTTGTCTTTTTTCCATTTCATTCTTCACTCATGTAATGCATTTATGATACCACATCAGATAATCATGTCTTTTTCAACTATGGATTTTAAATGTTTATAAAGATGTCACAGTAACTAACTTTATTCTCTAAACACAAAGATGTCAAATTACTTTGCCAAGGTAACTAAGGAGGGAACAATAATAAGGATGAGAATACAACCTTTTCCTTCCTCTATCCTTCAACTGCAACCTGTGATGCTTTTAGTGTAGAACCATGACACTGGATGCAGAAAAGCTGGGAAGTGTTCACAGAGGACTTTAAGAAAATTAAAATCTTGTGTAATAGAAAGGAAATGAATGCCTTGACCTCTTTATACATTAATGCAACAGTTTAATTTTATTCACAGTAGTAATTTCTCAGAACTCAATGGGATTACTCATTTGGTGCATAAAGTGAAACAGAGATTTAAGTGCCTTTGGGATGTGTACTTATTGTGGATAACATTAACGTTGCCAGAGCTGTTTTCTGTTTTCTTTCTGAGTCCGTTCGCTTGGCATTTGATTGTATTATTTGTTGTTGTTATGGGCTGTCCTGTTACAAGATAAGGGGACAACTAGTCCTCGTCTTCTGTACTAGCTGAATGAAATTTGGTCTGAAACAGATCAAACCAGATGAAAAATAAGATGTACTGTGAAAATCCATGAATATGGGAAGTTACAGCTCACAGTAAAATCAAACAAGACATCAAAGCCTTTGCTGGCTTCCATATAAAGAATAAGTCTTAGTTTAAGTACATAAATACTCAGGCTGTTTGCAGAGCTTTCATTCATGTCTTTTTGCTAATTTGTCTATTTTTACTACTTTAATATATTTTACAAGCCCTTTTTCAAGGTAAAAATTGGTATAACTAAATTTACCTTTGAAAAGATTAAATGTAAGTGGTTTAAAATGGGTAGTTTCAAGAGAGCACCATCTGGTACATAGTTATTAAAAAAGCCCATGAAAATATTACATGACCACATTCATATACACTTAAATTAACATAAGAACGTAAATTAACAAGTCAGTTCAAACTGCTGATTATAATTAATTTTGTAAATAAATGCCATCATTTTGAATATCTGTTATGACCCCTGAGGTGATGTAGAAGGGATTGTTGTAGGACAGACACTGTAGCAGTATTTGAGGGGATTAGTACTTGAGGGGATAAGAAACGACAGAAGTCACTCAGTATTTTGTCTATCAGGTTACCTTATTAATTAATTTATTAATTTAATGAGTTTGTATAATAATGAAATACTTGCAAAATTGGATTGTTGAGGAGCTTGGCTGCAATTTTTATAAGCTTACTCTTTGTAAGTGACTTAGAAGCACACTGGAAGTTATGATAGATATGAAATTACTATTTATTAGTGTATTAATCTAAAATACTGATGAAAATTTATTGGAAATTGCATTTTGGGTGGTATTTCATATTATTTTTGCATTATTTGATGAAGTTGCCTTGGTCACTGAAATCTCTTTGCTTTATATCTATGGTGAGTTATGAACTGTCCCTGTAATATTATAATGATTAACTTAATAGGAAGCTATGTGCAAAATAAGCATAAATAAACAGAGTGCACAATCCATCCCTGTCAGCGTTCCCAAGAGACAGGTGAAGGACAGTACTGCAGTTTCTTAGTGTCAGCGATTCTGGTTTTGACAAGGTGTGAACTTTGGTTTGACAGAAATAGTCTTCAAAGAGAGAAACCAGTTAGTAAATATCTTTATTTGTTTTGATTTCTAGGAAAGCAAGAGTCAGTTGTTAACAACCGCTTAGGAAGACAAGATGACAGGAAGATAAAGGGAGAATGCTCCAGGAGCTGAAAGATGGAGGCCTTGATCCATTCTGAGAGCAGTGCTTTCTGCTAGAGAGGCTGAAGATGTGTGCCGTGAGACAGAGACCTGCTGAGGCAAACTTCGGTAAACTACTGAAATTCTTTTTCTTCCTGCGTGCCATCTTAACCCTCTGGTGCAGCACCAGCATTGTTCAGTGGTTCAGCATTTGGGAATGTCCTGCATGAGTAAGTGTGGGTGCGATGCTACGTATGTAAAAACCTGCTAAAGGGCTGTTGATAGTTCCAAGGCAACTTTTAATAAATGAGTAAATATTTTATGTCTTCAGAAAACACGACAATGGCACTGAGATAATAAACAGTACCAACAATTCAGCGAACAAAGAACATTCATTCTTTCACCCTATGTCCCTTAGATACCAGTCCTAGTGCAGGATATGTCCCTTCCTTGGGCTCCCGTCTTTGTCCGTTGACCATGGTGGCAGTAGGGTCAGCTCCCCTGGACCAGATGCCAACATTTTAGATGGCTGAAATGAGGTGAGATAAGCCATGACTAAAGTCTGTCAGTTCTCCTTCCACAGGTTTCTCCCCTCTGTTTTTGAATCTGTCCACATCTAATGCCTCAATATAACCTATAAACTTCAGCCCACGTGCGTGTGTGTGTGTTTATGAACACATATACAAGGCACATTTGTCTGTCAGATTTTTTAAGGACGTGATTTGGTCTTTAAAAAGCAGCTCTTAGACATGGTATATGTCGTCTGGATATATAAGAACTTGAAAAGTAAAGCATCACCTCCGTCCTTTTCCAAACGTTTTCTGAATTCTGTCAGCAAATGGTTTAGCATTTCCCCAAATAGCAGCCTTCTCTCTGTTGGATCGACGATTAACTGCTGCTCGTTACTGAAATCAAAATCTGTAGCCTATCCCCAAAGTGCTGCAAGTGTTGAGATCAACACACAAATAGTTTTCTGGATCTCTAATTAGCTGAGGCTGTGTTAAACACTATCTTTTCCCCACAGTCCCTCTCACAGGTAAAAATACACAGCTCTAAATTAAATATATGGGTAAAATACATGGGCAAAAATTATTTCCAGCTCACCAGTAAAAATAAAATTATTTCCCTTGCTCTTATTTTAACTGCAATAGAGTGAAGACAAGGCCATGGTTACCTAATCGCTTTGTGAGGGATGAGCTCTGTTCTTAGGGTGTCCCGATGGCTGTGTTGTCATGATTACACAAAGGTTTAAGAGCAGGAGGAGTCAGGCCTCCTACTTCCCACCAAGTTGACATTGTTTAGGCAATTAAGATGAGCAGTACGTTAACTAAGACTGCGTAGCCCGTCCTCTGTAATCCAGTCTCATAAATCAAAGAAGGAGTAGCGTTTTGACATAGTTGCCTTCTCTGTAAAAAAAAAAAAAAAGTGCTCCTATCCATAATTTGTCTGGGGTGTTTTTATAGCAATTTTGGTTTGTTTTAATCAAATTGTGCATTATCTTCAGGGCTTGAAGTTAAAAAAAAAGGTAGGTATGGCTCCAAAGTCAGCAGCAATTGGCTCCCAATGCAATCAGAAGGAGCTGAGCCAAGACACCTGCTTTCACATAGGTAAAATCCTAAAACAGACACACGGCATCTGTAAGTGCTGAAGTCATAGGTAGTTGAAGGCCGTTAATTTCTTACTCTTACAGAAATGATACACTTGCTTCTGTAAGAGGCAGAGCTTCGGGGTCCAGGCTCCTGTTGAGTTTTAAGCTCTGCATGAACTTCCAGAGGCAACGTGTTGCTCACTTCTGTAGGATTAATTATTCTTTCCTTCTGGTGACTGCAGGGTGAAAAATCCTGAATTGAATATAGTGTTCCAGTTGAAGATACAAAAGAGTACAATAAAACACCTGCACATCAATATAAGAAACCATAAATAAAACACACTTTCCTATATTTCAGGCTTCATTGATTTGACAATGAATTCACAAAATATCCTGCTTTTTCACATGTGTGATTTCCGGAAAAATCAAATGCAGTTATTTCTTCCCACTCCATCAGCTCCCCATGCCCATCTCTGCACTGGCTGGGGTTCCTCTGCATGTCTGTGGTGTTGGAACTCCGACTGCAGCTGAGGCTCTGCCAATCCCCCCTCTCAGCAACTCATCCCCAAGGGGGTCACCCTTCATCTCCTCCAGTGTCTTGGACATGGCCTTGGTGCCTGAGCAGCTCATCTGATGTTGCCCAGTGTTCGCTGCCTGGAGCCAGTCAGTAGTTTGACTTTTACATAGAAGTGGAGAAGCTCAAACAAATAGTAGTGCCCCAAAATTGTAGCATCTTTTTCTTTCTCTGTGCTATCTTAGATTTAGTGAGAGGCAGATTAGGTGATTTTCTGTGTTACATTACCATTAGCTAGCTTTTGCCAGTGAGGTTTTAATATTGTATGAATATTATTTCCAGTATGCTGGAGGGTTCCTTCAGGAAGCTATGTCTTATATTTAAGATACCAGGACCAAGAGGTTTAAGTCCTTGAGGTCATTTCAAACACTTGTGCTTTTAAAATTGGGTACCTTGAATATAATTCAATTTATTATGTGTGAGCTTCTAGCATAAGCCTTTAAAAAATATCTTCCTTTATGTAAATCTGATACATGGACCGTTAACTTCGATAAAATAAGCAAGTGAATCTGGTATGCTTTACAAAATTTTGACCAGTGTCTCATTTATTGCATGACATACTTAGACCCACTAAGACCTGCTGGCTGCGCAAAGGAGTGGACATTTTATTCACTGGATGCTTGAAAGAGCTTTGGTTATTCAGCAAACTCTAATGATTCAGATCAATATTTAGCAAGGTCTGCTTATTTACAGCATCTGAAGGCTGATCTTACATAATTTTTTGGTTTTATTTGTATTCTAAATGATTGTTATTCCCAGATCATAGAGAAGAAAAACTATCAGTCAATTATTTTCAGTAAAATTCTAGGCTTTGTGAGGTTTTACGCTTTTTTGTTGCTTTGATATTTTAGATGCATTATACATTTATTCCTTCTTCCTCTGACATGGGGACTGCCATTTTTATTTGCTGAATTATTTTGCTGGAACTTACTACACTTTGTTTTTTAAATGAAAATGGTACGATCATTTAGATTCATAGTGGAGATTTCCTACATCTTTTCCAGTTATCTTTGTCCAGGGATGCCTGTTTAACTTATTTCAAACTAGAATATAATCCAGAACGGCACATTTTGAAACATGCTGATAGATACTCTGCCTCAGACAGGAAAAAGTTTGTATAAAATTTTTTGGTAACAATGTCTAGATAACAATACAATTGAAAAAAGATCTAGTGGTCCTAGTTACTATCTTAACTGTATAAACTCATAATAACTTTATTAGATCCTAAAAAATTCAGTTGAACTACCATGAGCTCTTCAAAATTCATCAATTTACCTGCCAGTTAAATGTAGTCCTACATCTGTGGCTGCTCAGAAGTGGGAAGGCTTACAGGCTCGCTTAAAAAATACTAATTAAAAAAAAATAATAATCACAGCTATAGCCTGATCCTGATGCTCAGATATGCAGCAAGCCCAACACATTAGAAATGTCAATATAGCTTCAGCTCTTATGGCTTTCATATTATGGAACCTGTTAGTTAATCCAGACACCTGAAAATCTTACCACCCTTGAGAGACCCTTGTTGCAGAGCATCTTTTTTCCAAGGTTGCAGCCTGGAGATTGGCAAATAGTCTTTTAGACTGTAATGGTTTTTGTACAACAAAAAGTCTTTTTTGTAAACTAGTAATAGTTAATTTTTCACTTCAGAATTATGAACATCTGTATCCTAGGTGTACCTGAGCATGTGCAGAGTCTATTGAAATCTGATGTGGAATCTTTTCTAGATTAGGAAAATTTATTTTCTAAGTGTTACATTTTATATTTTGTTTTAAAACTGGCACCTGTCATTTTGTCTGAAGGTGTTATGTCTTTAAGAAAATATGTTGGAGGTTCAGCTTCAAGTTTCATACACTTTGATGTCCTTGGTCAAACACAGTGACTGAGACACAAAAGTATATTGTGAGACAGAAGTCCTCAAGGGTGGTGTGAAAAGGATTTCTATACTCCTTGAACCAATGTAGTAAGCCAAAAATGTCCCATAATTCACTGAAGAGAGGTTTTTTTCCTTCCCTGAGCAATAGAAAACAAGCAATGTCAAGAACAGCAGCTTTCCTTGTATCTCAGGGATATTAGTTATCAGTTAAAATTTAACTACTGGTAAAGACTTCTGGGAAAACCAAAGACATTTCATTTTTCCAGAAGAGAAAATGGTGTCAAGAGCTTATAAGTATATCATTTTGGAAACGACTTCTTGTATTTTAGTTGAGAGCTTGGCAAAATGTAAATTTCTGCTTTTCTAGAACAAAGCAAAGTCAAATTATTTTGAATTTCTCTGTGGATTTTTTTTTCAGTTTTGTCTTTTTTCAGCTAAAACTTTTGATTTTGAAAAAAAAAAATGACAGCTCTTCATTCCAATTTCAATATTTTGCAAATAATATTGAAACGAAAATGACAGTTCTTCATTCCAATTTCAATATTTTGCAAATAATATTGAAACAAATGGAATGAAAGTGTTACTGAAAATTAAAATTCAAAAGTTATTATAATATTATCACACAGATGGATTTTTCCACTTTTCATACATCTCTTGCTGAAAAATGTTTCTATTCACCATTTTAGTTTGAATTGACTGATAGTGTGAATGACGAAAAAATACTTGTTTTCTTGTGAGCTTTACTGATAGGCCTGATTCTGATGTCAATTATTCTTGTTTACGCTGTTCTAGCTCTGCCAGTTTCAGTGATGATCATCTTGATTTACAAAACTAGAAGTGAAATCAGGTCTATTTTTTAGCTAGAAAAGACAAATATGTTGTGCTGTAAACTGTAAAAAGGTGAAGAAAGATGTAACTCCGCTAGCTGTATATAAACAGCCTCATTATGAATATGCAGTTATACAGAATGTGCTTAACTTCATAATTTCTTCTGCAAGCAGGTTTTGAAAATAACAATAAAGAAGAAACAAAGTTTACAGATCTACAAAAAGTGATGGTATTTTTAATTTGGAAAATATCACGGTGCTTTTAGT